AATAAAATTGTTTGGATTAATAATTAAAAAAATAAAAAGTTATAAATTTACATAATACTTCATTTTAGAATGAGCGTCAAATAACTAAATAACACAACTCAAAATATTGGTTAATACTACCTCCGGTCGTAATTATTAAACCTCGTTTGTAGACTATAAATAATATTTTATAATTAGGATCAGAAATAGTATTAGTTAAAGACAATAAATATATAAAAAAAAAAATTGACATGTATGCAATAGCTTGTAAAGAAAATCAAGCTCCTTCAAAGATTTATTTTAAACCAGAAAAAGTATAAGATTGGATGTGACTTGTAAATTTTTTAAAGGTGAGACCCTTTTTTTTTTTTTTTGAATTTCTTCTCTCTCAACGTTTCAACAACTAGAAGGATCAAATTTTCACCATAACTTATTGTAGCTTGCACCCGTAAGTCAAATGGCTCCCATCATGAATACAAATGCTACAATTAACTTTTGACATCCTTTGTTATTAGCTTCAAATAACTAAATTGTGTGGTTTAAAAAAATTATTAAAATTAATTAAAAATAATAAATACATAAAAAGTATTTTTCTCTCTTTCAAATATGTCCTTATTATTTATAAGTAAGTAAGTGAGAGTGAAAAAAAAAAGATAAGAGAGAATGTATGGGAAAACGATAACAAGATAGAGTATATTAATTAATGATAAAATGGGTAAAAATTTGTTTAATCCCACTGTGGTCTGTTTGAATTGTCACTTATAGTAATTTCTCACATGCCAATAAAATCATTAAATGCGTCAAATCTTTTACTTTTACCTTTATTAAATAGCTAACATCTCTCTTCACCTTTAGATTAGTCTCTCTTAATTTAATTAATACGGATAGGATTAAAAATGAAGTAGTAAAAAAAGTATAAGTGAAAAATAAAAAGGACCAAAATTCCTTCCTACAAATGATAATTTAAAAGAACTAAAATCTCTTTGTACAAGTGACAATTAAAAAAAAATTAGAATGATATTTGGACAAAATGAAAATGGGCCTTATAAAAAGGCACGTGAACCAAACTCCTTTTAAATAATTCTTCAATTCTAAATTAGAAAATTGATTTTGATTATTATGAAAACTTTAATTAATTTTATTTCTTATATTTTTTTATTTTTAAAATTAATTTATTTAACTTATAGGCAGGTATATAATTTAATAATACATAGCAACATTTTAGAGAAACCATGTCACATTTGTTAAAATTAAATCATTTGTTTAGCTTTCTTAGTTTTTTAAAATTAATTAAGTAAATTATTTAAGTATCTTTTATATTAAAAACATGATAAATGTAAATTAATTCGTCCTTTGTTAAAAAATGCCTAGTGACATGAAAGTGCTTGTATAAACAAGAGGTCATAAATTTAATCATACTTTCTTATTTTTATAAGGTCCTAATTTTTAAACTGGCTCCATTCTTTTTATGAGATTTAATTTAGAGTTATCTAAACATTAAATATATTTTTTACCAATTTAATTTCTTAAACCACATAATTTGGTTATTAGGATTTTATAAAAAGAACCAAAAGAGTATGTTGTTGATATTTGTGTACGTCTCTAATTTAAAATAGTCCAATTCCTTAAACATGGTTAATACGAGATTTATTAGTGAGTAGTTCCTCTGGGGATATCCGATAAAAAAATTTATTAGTGAGGAGTAATTTATAAAAGGATTCTTCGAACCCGTAAAGCTCACGTTAATCTCGTTGAGTTCCTTGATAATCAACTAACTAAAACTTATTTTTAATTAAAAAAATAGTCAATGTACTGTCATACTTTTCTAAGGCCAAGAAATGACCTGTCATTCAACTGAAACAGGCTCTACACAACAATACGTTTTTCTCGCCAGAGCTCGATATTTCTTCGGAGTGGGCCAAGAAATAAATTTCGATTAGAAGGTGATGCGACATTTGAAGCCTTGATGTCTTGGTCCCACCACAATCTTGTACTGCCTCTGATTCAAAAAATATATGATAAATTTTATTTATTTACGTTTAAAATAATAAATGTGCAACGTAAGCATATTTTTTAAAATATATCCTTATTAATAAAAAGAATAAATAGAAAACGTAATAAATGAATCAAAAAATAAAGAAAATATATGTTATCGCTAAAATAAAAAAAAACCTCATTATATTTAGACAAAAATTAATGTTATCTTATTAAAAAAAAAGATCTGTCCAACAAAATTTATCTTATATTTTAAACTGGAGGGAGTACTAATTTGAGTAGCTTTGTCTATGGCTGGTGCTTCCTGTATCGTGCAGGCATGGTGGTAATTAAGAGAAAGAGGAGAATCGAGAAGAGGGTTCATAGGACGCTGCTTTTGTTATCTTGAATTGGCTCTGTGAAAGCTAAGGCAGAGAAGGAGTGAAGGTTGAAAACATCTTTGACTGTGACTAATGGAGAATTACATTTACCATCATGTAGTCAAATTTCTTTTCCTCCATACAATGTTGAGGAGGCAAATAATTCCACATACTAAGGAAGAGGGACCATCTCTGTCTGACAAATAAGAGTATCTTCTAACCAACTCTTAAATTCTGAAAAATCATTGAGGGATTCTCACTGAGAAGCACCCAAACCAGAGAGATCTGCTGAGTGGACAAGAAATAAATAGATGATCCAAAGTCTCTTCTGCTGCACATCCAGAAGGACAAGATCTAGAAGTATTCAAGTGGTGATTATTTGGAACATCACACTAAGATTACTGCACTATGAAGGAGCTTCCAAACAAATAGTTGTTGTTTAAACGGGGGAGAAAGCTTCCTAAAAAGTTCTATAAATCATCAGTTCTACTACCATCAGGAGTGAGGAGACAATTGTACCTATCCTTGACCTTATAAGAGCATGAGGAATTGTCATTCTGATATACTACTTTTGATCTTTAATATAAGATATTATTTGATTTTATTTTAGTCCTAAATATAATATCCCAATTCATTGTCTCTTATTTTTATTTATTTTTTTTAAGACAGTCCTTGTAATAATAGTAATTCTAGCCAAAACACTTGATTAACAAGAATATTTTAGGAAAGACAACACATACTTATTACAAATAACTAACTTAACTAGTTTTTTTAATTTACTCAAATTAGTTAACTAGCTTTTATATTTAGCACTGGAAGTAGTAATTGATTAGATGAATTTAAAATGGAAAGTGGGAGTTGCCGGGTTTACATTAACATTTTTCTTAGAATATACTCCTCTGGTTCTATTTATAAGGCAGAGAAAAAAGATATTTTTTTGTTCTATTTATAAAGCACTGAGAGAAACTTTTTATATGGATGTATAATTTTATCTCTCATTTATTATTGTATTGATTTTGTTTATATCAGATATAACGTATATTAGATATGGATAAAATTGGAAAGTTATTCAATTTTAAATGAGAGTTAATAAGTTTAAAGTTTTGTTTGGTTTATATAAAACATGTTGAGAGTGACTTATAAATTAGATAAATAAGGTGCAAACCAGTGAAGAATTTAGTGAATTAGTTAAAATGATTTATATCATGATGATTCACTTGTGCAACAATCAATGCGAGCCGGAAAATTAGAACGTAGCACCTCCTTCCAAAATTCATTGGTTAACCAGAACCTTCCCCCAACTTCTTTTGTTCTCTAAATCTCGGCCTTCCACGTGTCCTGTTTTAGCATCCACCTGATGCGTAATTAATTTATTAATATATGAAACTGAAATGCTAACATTTATTAACATTTTTTCTATTACATCCTTAATTATAAAAGCACGTTAGTATCATTATAAAATTTCTACGACTCATGCGTACGTAAAAATCATGTTTTGATTACCAACATTAAGTAGTCTGGTTTTGCTTTCTTTTACATGGCTCCTCATCGTGGCCTCATATTTCAGCAAAAGAGTTTATAGGGTAATTTAAGTGTTCTTATAATTCAACCTTTTTTATTTTTATAACACTATTTTCAATAAAATATGTTAAAATTAAAACTATATTTTTAAAATATTTTTTTGATAATTTTTATTTAGATACTCCAGCTTCATCTGTCTTTCACAGAAGACAATTTATCAAAAATAAACATGATATAATTTTTGTTTGCTCAAATAATTAAGATACTTATATTGTAAAAATACATAATTTGCCCCGGTTATACGAATAATTAGAAAATTGCAGCACAACACTTGAACTACTATAATTGGAGCAATTAACGTAGTTTGATTCATATTATTTTACATAAGCAATACTTGTATCAGTAGCCATCTCTGGGCGTTGATGGGAAGGCTGGCGCCCAAGAGAGAGTGATTTAGGCGACACAAAAAAATTTAAATGAAATGCACAACCTATTTTGAAACGAGTTAGACCCAGCACAAAATCAAACGATCATGAAGATGCAAACTTGAGATGGGAAAACAGGCATGCGCGTAATATAAGACAAAGGATATAGAAAGTCGCACATAAAGATTTATCCTGATTCGGTTTAATTCCACAATAACCTACAGTAAACTCATGAGATTTTAATCCACTCAATTTCTCAAATTTAAAGGCCATTTGAGAACCACTACAGTCCTTCAAATTTTACGGAATATTATACGGAGATCCAATTTTACTTCTAATTTATTACGTCGTAAACTGCTGTCATTTTTAAAAAATATAATATATATTAAATAAAAATAAAATTGAAAAATTATTAAATTTTAATAGGTAATAATATTTAAAGTTCTGATGCATTAAAATTGTGTTGTAAATAGCAGTAAATGTAAAAGAACCTTATACAACACCACTCCTTGAAAACATCTACAGTACATAAGGCATCTAGCACAGAAAAGAGATAAGTCTACACGGATGGCTCCATATTTACGTTGTGGACCCTAATTTTTATACGCTGCCCCTTTCATATATACGAGTAATTGAGTTATAAATAAGCCTCCCTGTCTGCTCGTCACTTCACACAAATCAAAACTCAAACACACAAAGCCCCCCCTAAGAGAGAGAGAAGATGGTTCTGAGCAAGAAGCCGGCGATGATGATGGTGGGTGCGGTTCTGTTCCTGATGGCTTTCGCTGATGCAGCCTGCTACAACAAGACCTTCTGCACAGCCTGCTGCAACAAGTCCCTCTGCACAGAGTCAAGCTCTCCTCAATGCCACTGCGGCGACGTCGGAGAAGCTTGCCCCCCTGCTTGCAAGGCCTGTCACTACCCTTGCTCATATCCTCCCCAGTGTCGCTGTGCTGACACCGCCAATCTCTGCTATGATAAATATTCCTCCTGTGCTTATCCTCCGCAGTGTCGCAGTGCTGACACTGCCAATTTCTGCTATGATAAATATTCCTCCTGTGCTTATCCTCCGCAGTGTCGCAGTGCTGACACTGCCAATTTCTGCTATGATAAATGTTCCTCTTGTGCTTAATGCTATGCGAACGACAAAGCCTAGGCACTCTCTACTACTTTAGGCTTTGGTTCTATGTACGTGAATCTCCTATCTAATGAAATAAAGTCGGGAAAATTATAATAAAATGATTCTTGAATTTGCAAAATCCCAAATGATGACATGAAGTAATTGCAAAATCTTAAGAATTTTAAATTGAAATTTTGAAATGTTGGTGAGTCTATAATATTGTTCTTTATTTTTTTAAAAAAAAAACCCGTAAGTCAGCCTTATGGGTAGCGGACAGTCGGCCAGTGAGAGTGGCTTGCGTTTTAAAAAAAAAAAAAAAAAAAAGCAAAATTATATATTCACTAATAGTTCAAAAATCCAATTTAGTCATTATGACTAATTGAAAATTTGTTAAATTCATCTGATTTTTTTTGAGATTTTGAAATTGAAGGATAAATCTTTTCAGAATTTCCCAATAAAGTATCTTGTGCCCTTGCTTCCCGTTTGTCTTTTGGCAAAATGGTTGCCTTGCTTTGTTTTCATCATGCTGTTACGATGGTCCCAGGTTTAAGACTTTTATTTTTATCTAATAAAATATGTTAAAAATAACTTATAAAGAATTAGAATCACGATTCCTTTTGGGAGGACCAATCAGCACATAAAAAGTGGGTACGTGGCTTTTTCCTTTGCAAACGCTGTGTAAAAACACCCATAGTCGTGGATCAATTGTGCATAATCAGTGTGGGCGTCCAAGAAGTTCCTTGAAATAAATGGAGTATTGTAATATATTTCATAGCTCACTATAGAGAAAGAAGATTGTTGGGGTTTATATGAGGGTTAAGGTGCATCCAACATGCCTAAATATATTGCGAGATGCATCCGACACCATTAGTTATTAAGTTATTCTTTCAAGTGCGTCCATCACTTTGAAATATTTTTTTCTACATCTAGTATCCTAAAATATTTTTTTCATACGCATCTAGCATCTTAAAATATTTTTTTGGTGCATTCAACATTAAGGCCAAAAAATGTGTTAGGGTGCTGGACATACCCATACAATACTTCAGGATTCTAAATGTACAGCAAAATACTTTGAAATGCTGTATGAATCTGAAAAAAATATTTTAAGATGCTAGATAAACTTTAATCCCTTATTTAAATAGAGCAATATGAAATTGATTGTAACTAGTGAGTTACGCATTACAAATTAAGACTAAACTTAAATGTTGTAGAAAACTTTCTTATAAACAACATTGAAAATAGAGCAATATGAAATTGATTGTAACTAGTGAGTTACGCATTACAAATTAAGACTAAACTTAAATGTTGTAGAAAACTTTCTTATAAACAACATTGACTCTTATCAATTGATTGTCCATTATCATCCCAGACTAAAATTTTCAGCCCATTCTCCAGCCTAGCATGGGATGTAGCAACATATAATATGTTTGTACTAAAGGTGACAAAAGTGATTTTTATTTCATTTAGCTTTTGTAAGTGTGAGTTAGGATAAAAACCAGTTAGGATAATGTGATTTATATTTGGATTGATATTAGTAGAAAAGTCAGCTAAGAAATTGAAACTTGTTTGGATATAGAGTATAAAAGTAAGTTTTAAGTAAAAGGACCAAAAAGACACAAATTTTGTTAAATAATAATGTATATAATGTGACAATTTTAAGAGAAATATTAAAATTATAAAAATAGTTAATATATTATTGAGAAATTTGAAAATACTAAATATAAGATATTAATTTATTTTGTCTTAAATATTTATGAAATAAGGTGTTTAAATACTCTGAAAGTATACATAAAGGAGCACCTAATGAAACATCCTTCCGTTTACTCCTTTTAGTACACATCCGAAAATGTTATGATTCAAATAGATCATGAAATAAGCTCGTAAATTAAAATTTTATCGGGTTATTATTCACTGGTAATTTTTAGATTTTTGGTATTTCCTAGATTACGGTTCAAACTATGGGTACAGCTCAAATGCATATATCCAGAAACTGCATATGTATGTGTATAACTCTTTTCATAATTTCAAAATTTAAATGGTTTGTACTAAGTATTCCCTAGACTATATATAGCTTTTACTTGCTTGACAATTTATACATAATTTTTTGGGTGACTAAAATTAAGATTAATAAGCAAATAAAACATAGTTAATTAAAATTATAACCAATATATTAAAAAAAAAGTGTAACAGGCCCAGCACATCTAGCAGGATTAGGCCTTTAAAAAGACCCATGTCTACTCCTGTTTTTAAATTGGCCAGGCGAGACCAACGATGGTCTTTTTCATTTCCACCTCTTACTGAGGGGTTTTAATTTTATAGTCATTATTGAGACAAATATTCAATATATGTTGGTCCAAAAAGGTAAATATCAATATACATAATATTACGAATTTATATATAGTCGTAGATTATTCTTAGATGGATATATTTGATTCTTAGATGGGCCCGGGTCATGTATGATGTAATTGTCCTTTCTGAATTTTAACATTTTGGTTCAATTCTCGGGCCCGTAAAACAAAGGAATTCGGTAGAGATTCTTCTCTTATTATTTGATAGTAATTTATTGTACCAAGGTCTAAGGGGGCTAGTTTCCTACAAATAGTAATTTATTTTTTTAATATTACATCTAATCCTAAATATATTTAATCTTATATTTAATACCAGAGGGGTTAGTAATATACACAGACAGTTTGATGCAAACCTTCTATATATATATATTATGAAAGAATTTAACAAATTGCATTGTCATGAACCGTAAAATAATGCGGCTTATTTTTTAGACTACGTGCAATGATGAGAATTTTATTTAAAAAAATATAGCTGATGTATAATAAATTTATATATTTATAATTGATGTAACGTTTATTTTGGATAAATTGCGGTGTCTTAAAAATTTTCGAGCTTGCATGAACCAAATAAGCAAAATAGAAACTAGAACCACTATAGACATAATGATAAACTTTTGATATACTAATAACTGAAAGTACAGAAAGGCATCTGTAACATAATATTATGCTGTTTATGACAGCGATCTAGGAACCTTTACGATGAAGAAGACTCACGAGCAAGAAGCCTAACACTCGACAACACAAGTTTAATCTGTACTTGAAAGGTTATTGAACAAGCAGCCCAAAACTTATACGCAAATTGAAGCGTGACGTGTCCCTGATTCCTAGAATGATTAACCTCCAACTTTTGAGGTCGCTCTGCCATGTATATTTCCATCTTCCTTTCGCCTCTTGGCAGTCGAGAAGCAAATAAAATAAGATGGTGATCAGTTTCAATGAGAGTGGAACCAAGACCTCTTCAGTTATAAGTTGCTGACTTGTAGAAGGTTTTAACATAGAACCATAGCAATGGGACTCGAACACTGACCCTGACAGTAAATAGCTGTTGTTAGCACTCTTGCATCAAGCGGCTGTCGATGGTACAGAGACTGCCCTCAACGCCTTGCAAATTTCTCGCATTTTCTTTCTTCCGTGGGCATTTGGCAAATCTATGCTATTTGGTGTTGCTATTTCAGTGAACAAGGAATGAACAGATTTCCATGCTCATATGGTCCTCAATCCAAATCCGACTCTCATTAAAAACGTAAGGAGAGAACATCCAAGAGAGTAGCCAAACAATTTTGCAATATTTACAAAATATTGAATTTTCAAACAAGTATCATACTAGCTCCTGTCCTTAATATAAGACCCCGTTTGACTTTTAGTTTGGTCTTAATTATAAGACCTCAATCCATTTTGTCTCTCATATTTATACATTTTTTTCCAAGATAGTCCTTCTAATAATGATAGTTTTAGCTAATACACTTAATTAGCAAGGATATTTTAGGAATGACAACACTTATTTATTACAAATAACTAACTTAACTTACTTTTTTAATTTCTTCAAATTAGTCAACTGGGTCTTATAATTAGGACCGGAGGTAGTAGATAACAAGTGTGACCTAATGAGAATTTAAAAATATATAGAAGAAGATATGGGTGTATCATTTCAAACAAATCCTTAGTGGATGGCTGCGCAATCTGCTCAAGAAGAGGGTTGTCGGATTGGTCAGATGTGGAATTGTAAATTCCTGTGTGACTAGAAAAAGCCAGTTCAAGTTATGTCTGCACTGTAGTTATATGTTTCATTCGCTAAAGATTTAATACAATGTTCCATAGTAGAAAATGACTCGAGATCCGAATTGGATGCCGACTTGCCTCTCGGGTTTACACTGTAAAGTAAAACTGGCTCTGGTACAGGGGAGGCTTTTGTGCTAGCGTCACTACTCCTGTTACTGATTTTAGAGATAGATGAAATAAAGTCAAGCTTACAAATAAACTCTAGTTCTTTTTATTTGCAATGCAATTAAGCAGTGGTGAAACTATTTGCATGCATTGGCCTGGTTTATCGCAGTTGACATGGTTACACACACACACAGTTATATATTTGTATGCCCGGATGCTTAGTGTGTCTTTGATATCAATTGATGTGAGATTGGAGTCTCTTTTGACATGTTAAAAAAAAAAAAAAAAGAACCCTTCAAATGGTTTTAGATTCGTTTTGGCATTAAAGCCTAATACAGATTAGAGGCATATATGTATCTCACTCAATCTGATTTCCGAGTGGCTTAGGTGAATTACACGAACCCAATAATTCTTCAATCCAAGCCAAATTCTGTTTGCATAATAAGAGATTTACATATAGATGACATATCGATTTATCTCTCAGGAACTCAATTTACAGAATTGAAGCAAGACATGTCCATGCTTCCTAACATCCATCTCTCATTGAAAATAAATGGAGAGATCATCCAAACAATTTTGCAGCATTTACTAAAGGTTGATTTTTCAATCAGGTATCATAAAAGTATGACCTAATGAGAATTTAGAAATATATAGAAGACAATTATGGGTGTATAACATACAGGACTAAAAGAAATTTGAGATATTATAAGATTTAATCTGATTTTTCTGATTTTTTTAATATTTTATTATCTTTTTGTTCATTTTCAAATATACATGTAAATTATGTGAGTGATTTATCGTTATCTTCTATTATAGATGCACAAACAATATTGTGATTTTTTTAATGTTAATTAAATTTTAAAATTGGCAAGTTTATTTATTCATTTGTTTTATATAAAACCAAGTAGATAATTTAATTTCTCCTTATTCAATCTTTTATCCTACTCTTTTGGACATACTGCTTAATCCTATGTCCTCCTTAAGAGCACTATTTTCACTTTAAAGTTTGGGATGTTACATAATTAACTTATAATAATTGAATTTTAAAGCTTAATAAAATGTTATTAACAAGAATCAGTTAGAAGACAAATCATAAATTAAAAAACGCACATGTTAATTTGATTAAAACAAGGACATTAATTAGGATAAAATCTAAAGCTTCTAAATTTTTTTGGATAATCTTATTCTTTCTTAAGGTGGAACCTTTTGACGAGGAAATGATATTTTGAGAGATTTTTAAAAAGAAAAAAAGAAAAAGAAAAGGAACAGAACAGACTTATTATCAAAGAAACAATCTGAATATCCACAAAAAAAAGTTCACGCTTCTTTATCTTATGATTTTTAAAGGGACAGCACATTATGCCGTTTTCTCCACTCCTTTTTTTTTTTTGGGTAAAAAACAATTAAATTTTCTATTGTTAGATGGATTCTTCAAATTTTGCTAGGAATTTGTGAGGTAAAAAAGTTTTTGAAGTTTTGAAAAAAAAAATCACTTATAAATTGTGAAAAAGGCTTGTGAAAAATACATAGGATGAATTCTGAAGTCCATTAGTACAAATTCGTGGAATATATGCAAAAAGCTCAACAATGCAAAGTGAAAATGAAATAATCCTTGTTTTGCTATTGCTCATGAATAATTCACAAATGAAGAGAAAAAGTACAGATTTTAATTTATAGGACAAAGATCAAGGTCTGTTTCATTATAATTATCCCAACCTACACTCAATTTCGTATCAGTGAGTTTCTGCAAGTATATATTGTCCATAATAGGGTCTTCTACAAGGCATGCTTCACTTGAGTCCTCCGCAATTGTTTGAACTGAGAATTTCAAGTTGCCTCGAGAAACAAACGGATGCATCACAGCAGCCCATCATTGAATTAAAAAGACCCATGAATATATGTAAAAATATGATGTCAGAAGGAAGATAAAGTATTGGGAGATGGAAATTGAACCACCTATAGTTGTAGGTGAATCATTGGAATTGCAGTTATGTATTTGATTGAATATTTTGATTTGCATTTGATCAGGACATGCTCTCTATGTAATCAACTTGTTTGTGTGCTTTACATATAAGAATAATTCACTTCATCATTTGCAAACCAGTGCCACATCCTGAAAATATCCCCATGAATACAGTAAAAGGGTTCCATTTTATGATCCACAGACAATTTTCCTACCATACTGGTATTTAAAATGGAAATCCACACCAGCTATATGGCCATTCTAAATAATAGGAGATCAAGCAGTCGATGTTAAACAGGGAATTATGCATGCAGAAAAGAGACACCAAAAATTCAATACGAATATTTGTCACACCAATTCACTGAATGTCCGAAATGTATTTTATTCTCAGGACCATCCTATGAACATATTTCAAGGCATCCTACCAACCTTTATGCGCAGCTCTAATGTGTCCATCTAATAGCACTGTATGTTTCTCCTATTTCAAAGAAAGGGATACAAGCACTGTCTCTTTCTGATGGGGAAAGGCACAATGGATTCAGAATGAAACTTTAAACAACTTTGTTGTACCTTATAATTTAAGAAAAATATACCACTTTTCTCTGCCACTTGAAAATTTACATGAAAATGGACACCTTTTTTATTAACCTTTTCTGCAGCCCATAAACGTGGGCGTTAGATAGACATATTTCTCACTATATTGCATGTTTATGTCAGTAATTTTATGCTGTATAATGTATGAGAAAAGTTTTGTTTTGTAAAACACTAAAACATTTATTTTGAGAGGATAAGGTGTTAAAATATCCTGAAAATACATGCTAAAGAGCACTATGCCGAGGAGCACTAAGCATCCAAAACTTTTTTTCTTTTTTTAAGCTTTAAAACATCTTGAAACTATTAATTTGTAGCATTTATGCCCTGAGTTAATCCCACTAACTTTTAATTTTGACTATAATGGCCTACATGGCAGCCATTCATCATCACATCTCATCCTCCTTTCCCTTCTCTCTTCTTCGTTTTCTCTCTGAAACTTAATGAAAGGAAGATTAACTTGAAGGGCATTATATAAAGCTACTAGTGTCGTAGAGGAACAGAGTTGTCAGCATCGTAATGTATTCAGAGGATTAAAGACTCACCACATGCAACAAAGAATTCCAACTAAAAATTTTCGCCTAAATCGATTAGAACAACGAAAAGGGAAAAAAAATGCAGGAGAAAGAATCCATTCATTCAGCCACAAAATCGAATCTATTAGAATCTGAATGTGATTAAAGTATCCAACCTCTTCCGATAACCTTGCGCTTTGGACGTTTCAGAGGAGTCTTCGATGCTTGGAGGACGCGGTCGTGGGTGTAGCAACCTAACTAGAATGGGCTCAAGAAGCGATGGTTCCGTAATTAGGATGAGGATTGAAAAAATGAAAATTGCTCGCAGATTGAGAGAATATGCATTGTAAACTCGGTGATGTCTAGCCTGAGACAGAAACGGCAACGGCGACGAGGGATACCAGAAGCCAGAACGAGAGGTCTGGGAGGCAAACAGGAGGCCAAGGGAGTATTTTCTGGCGAAGTATTCACAGTCCACGGATCTCCAATGTCCGCGGCCGAAGGCACAGGGTAAGGATTTGGAAAAACATCGGCAAAAAACAGGGAAAGTGCATCTTGTGTTGTGAATTGCAGCGAGGTTGTTTGGTCTTCTTGCGATGCGAGGATTCCGACTTGGACTCCGGTGATCAATGCTCCATGGGATTCAAGCCTTCAAAGCCGCAGGTAATAATGCATGGAGGATGGTGGAGGAGGTGGCCGGCTAAGTCGGGTCTCTGATTCTTGGCTAAGTGGGGATGGAAGGATTGAGCAGAAAAAGAGAAAGGGAAGAAGACGAGACGGAAGAGAGAGCGCCAGGTGCGCCGATGAGGTGGAGAGGAAGGAATAAAACATGGCTGTTACACAAGCAAGAAAGGAAGGAAAAGAATGTCTCCACTTCCTTTCAACTCAATATTCTGTCATTAGAGCAAAATTTAAACGTTTGAGATTTATTTTATAAAAAACAATTAAAATATTAAATAATAAATAATAAAAAATAGATAAATAAATTTATACTGTTGAAATTTGATATTAGTAGTTTAAAATGATAAATTTTTATCATATTTAATATTATAATAATCTTTTTAATCAATTTTAAATCTTAACCATTAAAAGTTAATCTAATTATAGAGAAATTAAGTGGCAAGGAAGTAGACAGAAAATTAGTTAGTGGAAGCGCTCTTCTCCCACTAAAACACCAATAATAATTTTTATCTTAAGAATTTTTTTGACCGATTATCTTAAGAATTCATTTACTGAATTTTAAAATAAGTTTGTTCATGATAGAAAAAGTCTATATATTTGCTTCATTACTTAAATTTGACCAAGTCCAATTATTAATCTCAACTTCCTGTCCAGGCAATCACTATTATTAAGATACTTTATGCACGTCCTCCGTTATTATTACAAGACCTTTTTAGTTTATATCCCACGTATTGGGGCAAAAAAATACTAAGGTCAAGTTATTCATATCTGTTATATCAGGTTTTTTAATTACATACAGTCATGTATCCTATTTTTTTTCATGTAAATTTATAATTAAATAATAATATCTCAAAAATAGGATATATTGTCAAGTGTGACTAGAGAATTTAACATAATAGATATAAAGAACTTAATATAATATTGTCATTTAAAAAATTAGTGTAAAGTAATTGAGAATATGGGATGTTTTTAAAAAAATTTTATAACATGTTAAAACCGCTATTAAGTGAAGTCATTAATTTTTATCCAAAACTTAATTATATTAGTTTAATTTTCTCACTTTATGAAGGGCATTTAAAGAGTGTGTGTGTGTGTAGTAATGTCTTACTACTTTTTATAAAGGGTTTTATGTTAAAAGATATAAAAGTTTTTAGCTGGCCCTTGTAATAGAGAATGCAGAGAGTACTTAAGATACTTTATTTTTATTCCAATCAAATAAGATGAGAATGAATTAGGATAATCTAAATATAAAACATATAAATGCAGATTATGCATGAACATTCATATGTCAGTGTTTTTTACCTACATTAATATGTTAAAGTTGGCTTCTTTAGCATTGCTAGTAGACAATTTTTTGAACTTCACAAAATTATTTCTTAAATAAAATTACCAAATTTCTAGTAAAAAATGAAATAATCAAATCAATGTCCCCTTGAAAGGCAGAAACAAACTATTTGAAAATTTCAACAGAGGAAATATAAGCAAGAATAATTTTGAAAACGAGTCTAAGATTCCTAGGCTAATGCCTGATTAAAGTGGACTACCATCTGATGTGCTCCAATGCTAACAAAATCCATGAAAAAAAGGCAAGATGCATGCCCACTAATTATTGATGTTGAGGAAATCCCATATATGAAGGAATTAAGAACGTTACGTGAAATGGGCAAGAATGGGAAACAAAAAAATCAAGAGAGTCACAATAATATAAGATAAACTCACATAAGTACACACAAGGATTTCTGTCTATTAACATAGAACAATATAAAGGACAATCCCATCACACACTGACATATGCATTGCCATTTAAAAAGAAAGTATAGTGGTTCAAGCTTTTAAAACGGGAACAATAAATCAACTCTAAAAACAGGAAGATCAAAGGAAACAGTTCAAAACACACAAAACAACATTACAACAGTTTTATGGGGAATCTGAGAAAGCGAAGTAAAATCGAATATTCGAATCCTCAGATGCAGGCAAAGATCAGGCCTTCAACTCCCGACCAGGTAATTCTGAGGGAAAAAAAAATAGTACAAGAATTTGTTAGATGTGTCATCAGAGTAACTTTCTCGCTTAAAGGCAAAAACCTTTTAAACTATAAAGGCAAAAACCTTTTAAACTATGTATTGAACTTTAACAGCATCAATACAGGTATGAACATTTTGTCATATATGTAACTCCAAGATCTTTTCTACAAAATTGTCCTAACTTTCTCAAAATACATGATTCAGTTAGTGGGTTGTATTATACACTTTCTCGGTGTGATCTTGCTTTTTTTAAGAAAAAAGTCGCAAGTCTAAGAAGGTTACTAATAAATCTGGAAGATTGATATTATTAGTAATAAAAATGAGGATCAATATGTGGAAAAAAAAGGCAACATAAGCTCTTAAAATGTATTCAAAAGGTTATCAAAACTTATTAATTTATTCTAAAAATGATGTGAGGAATTTAAAACTAATATATTTTTATGGCTACGATATATTTTAGAGTAGATGAAAATATATTCCTACCATACATAAGCGTGAGTTCAGGAGGAATCTTGCAATCAATAGAATTAAATTGTAGCGGCAAAAAGAAGGAATAGAACGTCACCTGAATCATTTTCTTTAATGAAAGACGTGATCAGCTCGTATGTTGTCAGTTGAGTGAAGATGTCAAGGTCTTCATCAATTGGAACAAAGACCTTATCGAATTGATCAGGCTCGTCTTCTTGTCCCCACTCTTCTCTCCTCCAATTAAGTGCATCCCGCCATTTTGTTTCTCCTCTTATCACCTTTAGCCTTTCAATTGACAATTCTGTAGTGGAAAGACTCTGAAGTTTTGGACAGTAATAAAGTCCCATCTCCTCTAAACTTTTCCCAATACACACCCCATTTGAAATGCTAGTCAGTTCAGGCACAAAGAGAAGTGATAACTTCCTCAATCTTGGGAGGAAAATGCCTGTTGTCGTTGTTGGTTTGGAGGAGGATGGACAGCTTATGATGCTACTTACTTTGGCACAATCTTCAACTATAAGCTCTTCTAAGTTGTCAAGACTTTGCAGGGAATCCACAGTGAATATGGTAGTTAACCTAGGGCAAGTGCGCAGTGCCAACAACTTCAGTTGATGGAAAATGGAATTGCCAACATTACTTGGATTTTCAATGATGCTTCTCAGATTTTTCATGTAGAATATGGTCAAAAATTGCATGCAAAACGATTCATTCAGGTATGAGCTTGCTCCATATCCATCCAAATTTACAATGCTCCGCATTTCATTACATTCTGCCAAAATGCATAATTGCAGCTGTGTCAGATTCTTCAACCCCAATTGGGCAAGATTGTTGATGGTCATGTGGCGGTCCAAAAAAAATGCCCAGGCTTTAGAGAGAATGGACTTCACCTCATCTGGAAATACTTGACCATTTACAAACTTTAAGCTAGGACTACTTTCTTTAAACATCTCTTCAATAGCAGGCGGTACACGTGACATCATTCCTGGCTTGTGATTGCTGATAATGAATCTAAAACTAGACAGACACCTTTCTTTGAGATTCAAATTAACTCTAATTGGGATATACATATCCAATGCTTGTAACTTCTTTAATCCATTGGTTTCCGCAAGAATGCGTTCAACGTTTTTGAACCACCATTTATTGTCTGGGTTAACAGCAATCCTTAAAGCTTTCAATTGATTGAGCTGGGATAGAAAACCAAGAGGAATCATTGCACAGCTAGAATCATCATCATTATAAAATGAAAGAGATAGACTTTCCAACTTGCCCAAATTTTTTATCTCCTCTGGCAGATGTGTGATCAGAGTGCCATCAAGATCAAGTGTGGTAAGATTATCAAGTTGGCCAATGTCTGGTGAAAGTTTCACAAAAAGTCCACAATCTTTTAGATAAAATTCTCTAAGCATCTTTAGATTGCAAATTGAACTTGGGAGTTCATGTATGCTAGTGCGTGACAGGTCAAGGATGATAAGTTGAGGCACATGTCCAAAAAATGAGAACGGAATATTCCTCAAATTAAGGTTGTTTCCCATAGACAGACTTCTTAGTTTGGGAAGATTCAAATGCTCCGGAAGATGTGTAATCTGAGTGCCAGAAAGATCACATATCTCAAGACTCGGGAGTTCCCAAATTTCTTGTGGTAGTGCCTCCAGTCGCTTACACCCTTCCAACCTCAATGTCTTAAGATTCACAAGTTTAGCAATCTGTGGTGGCAATTCTTGCAATTGTGAACAATGTTCCAAAGACAAAGTCTCAAGATTCTGGAGTTCCCAAATTTCTTGTGGTAGTGTCTCCAGTCGCTTACACCCTGCCAACCTCAATGTTGTAAGATTCTCAAGTTTAGCAATCTGTGGTGGTAGCTTCTGCAGTTGCAAAGAGTGTTCCAAAGACAAAGTTTCAAGCTTCTGGAGATCATCAAATATTGCTTCTGGCAATGTTTCCAGCATACAACCTTCCAAATTCAATTTTTTATGTCCATAAGAGATATTTACATCATATAAATTTTGCATGTGAGTGTTGGATAAGTTTAAAACTTGGAGGTTTGAAATTGTTGATACCGATGCTTCTTTACTCAAGTTCTCAGGAATTTCCAACCTAATTGCATGTAAGATAAGATTAATACCCTCGGGCAATAGGATATACCGACCTACGGCCTCTTCAGTTTTCAAGAAGACAGAACATTCCAGGAAATAATGTAAGGTGCCTTTTGCTTCTCCTTCCGTGTCCACTAATTTTTCAGAAAACCAGTAATCAAACAATTGACTATGACTTATCTTCCAATCTGAGGATTTGAGGACCATCAAACACCTTATAAGACGAACCTTTTCTGTTTCAGAAATTACATTTGGCCAGATGATGTTGAAGAATGCATTCACTATTGGTTCACGATCACCATAACCCAGTTTATCCAATGCAAGTTCCCAGGTTTGAACATCTTTTATATCTTTCAGTGACTTCGCCATAAGAATGATGGCAAGAAGATGGCCACCACATTTCTCCACCATTTGCACAGCAATTTTTTGGATGTGAATAGATGAATTTAGAAGCTCACTACCAACATTCTTGCAGAAGACCTCCCAAGGCAACAAATGGTCCTCTGTCTTGATCGTCAAATCCATTTTCAGACTCAATTCATCGTTTTGCTGTCCTGATGATAGTGTTGTTATAAACACCACGACATCTCCAGAATCTCTTTTATTTGGTAAACTCACCTTCTGGGGGTCTAGTTTTTTATCAACATCTCCATCCACCACGAGCACTAACTGTCTGCTTCTTGTATAATTCTTTGTCGGCGACTCTACACTGGTAGATTGCTGCAGCCTTGTTTCAAGATTTAAGAACTCTTGCTCTCTTTTGGTCTCATCATCAATCTGATTCAGATCAATGATTTGGACATTACCAAATGTTTCACGAATTCGAGAATTTGCTTCTATGTTTGCCACAACAGTTCGTTTTTCTGCATCATCTCTGGTCAAAAACAGGATGTTTTGAATCTCCTCAAGGGCCAACCGACTATGGGATAGAGTGTCTAAAGTTAATGTTTGAGTGAGTTGGTTTATGGCAAGACGAGTAGCTAAGAGGAGAATAGGTTGGGGCACATGTTTGAGAGATGTCCCCATGCTGACGCTGCCTCCGTTTATGCTCTCTTCTGTTATCTTCCGTGGTATAAGGGCTTTTACATATTTCAGTGGCCTTTCAGAGAAAGGATGAACACTTCCCCTCAAATCATCATTGATCCATTTCTCCAGCATGTGTTCATACCCGATTCTCATGGGGTAGCTCAAGATGAGGTGTAAAAAGTTCCGTGTCCTCATCAACCTTAGCACATCTTTCCCCGGCTGCCGTTAAAAAGGAAGAGAAAAGAGAAGAAAATATTCGTCAAGGAAGATATGATCAACAACACTGACAACAAAAGCATGTTAACTAAGAGTTTGATATTGACGCCTATTATTATATTTATAAAAATCCAGTCATAGGTAGAAGATACGAGGTATCAACAGCAACAAGAGACGTTACTTCTACCAGCCTGAATCTCTTTTCTAAATGAACTCTGTCTAATCCAATCATATGACACCCGCCGACTCTAATATGCACAATTACTCACATATTATCTATTTATTAATTTATTTTAGATTTGCAAGCGCTACTCACAACGGATTAACCATAAGGTTCTGAAATTCAATATTTCAGTTGTTACTTTCTGGGAGGCTTGTGAAAATACGTAGGCATCAGTTGTGAATTTCACAATTTGACTCTTTCTTTCCCCTTTTTCCCCCCAAAAGGAAAACTTGTAAATCATCATAAAACCAAAGATTTTAAAAAAAAATTGAGGGACCTATAGAAAGAAATCACCGACTAGACTGTACATGTCATGGTTTGATTTGCAAATTTGAGAAGACGACTTATAAAACACCGCAGAACGATAAAAGTTGTGTCAATCATTTTTTAAGGAGAAAAATGGGGAGAAGTTATGAAATTAGTTAAAACAACTTATAAAAGTGGGAGGGAATTTAAAAAATATGCATAAGAACCACGAGGGGTTGTACATTCATATTGTTCAAGAAAACACACACATATTAAATTACTGTGGGGTAGTCCGATTAGAGTCAATAGCAGCCAAATGATCAATGCTGGACAGTTAAAATCAATACCAATAACTTATTAGATTAATGCCAAAAAGAAGACATATGACCCGTCAAAGCATATAATTCATTCAGAAGATGCAGCTTTTTAATATTAATGGACATATAGCAACAAACTACAAACAAAGAATATAATATTTAGCCACTTCCTGCCTATATGATCATATAATAAATTTGGAATCCCATCATACAATGCGAGAAGAAATTTTCAAAGATCAAAAAAAGAGAAAAGTATCGAATCACTTAGAGCACTTCCTTAATCTGGGAAAAATACTTATTAAGAATACATACATTTTATTTCTTAAGTGAGGGGTGTTCAGTAAGTTAGTGATAATTGGATATTTTCAAGGAAATCATGATTTGGACCCTTATAGTTATCAAGCACACCTTCACATGCCAAAATTAATTACAATTATCATAGTTATGCAGACAGGCACAACCAATTGGACTAACGCCCATTATGCCAAAATTAATAAACCCCGGAAGGACAGATGAGACGCCACAAACAAGGGGGCACTGTTTCTTCTAATATAGTTTACTCACCGTATCGCTAGCGTAATCAGTAAAACCCCATTGAGGAAAATCAGCAAGCTTTGGTTGGGAATTTCTAATCCTCGGCTTCTCAGTTGGCGCCTTGGGAGAGGAAAGAGGAAATACGTTGTCAGTCGTCCATACGGACTCGCCTCACTTAGACAAAATCTTAGGAAACACATCATCAAACTTACCTTTACATATTTCTCGCCATAACTCGCCACTGCATCGCATGCATGGCCTTTTGCAGGGTTTTCACTTGTGCTTGTGCTTTTGTTTGACGACATCTTGGGGGAGGAACTTCAAAATTCAAACATTATATTTGCCTGCATCCATCCAAAATAAAAACCTACATAAATATTTGTTTCTTCTTAGAAATTACTCTCGAGTCCCATATAACAACATAAACTATCATAAAAATACATTCTCTATCTGATCTCCCGACGTTTAATTTAATTACTCAATAAGTTTTGATGTACAGTTATTAAAATCCTCTACAACAACAACATCCAAGACAAGTACAATAAGAATGACTGTTTTAGCGTTGACTTGATGAGGCCTTCTTTTTCTGCCAGCTTTGAACAATTTTGTTCTTTTAAAAAAGATGTATAATTTTTACAATGCAAATTGGACTGAAGGCCCGTAGTTGACAAAAAGTCTCTAACAAGTTAAGCTGTTTACAACTTAAAACGTGGTTTTCGATACATTTTAGACTCAGTTACTGACTTATTGATTATTTTTTTATAACAAAATCAACAAATAGAAAATACAAAAGAAAGAAAAGGGGAAAAAGAAAACCAAACTAATACCTGATCACCTTGATGTGACCACGTGATCCTTATCTAATTCTAACTCACGCGTAAGAAAAGCAGGCTGCGAAGAAACTCTGGCAAAACCCAACGGTGCTTCAAGAGCTTCCTTTACCAGATGATCTGCAGAACCTTTTGCATCCCTGGCACAAGAAGAAATAATAGCTGACCAACCTTTGCTCAGCAGTCAGCATGCATCTCCCTTATTTCGTCCAGACTTATTGATTTTTTTAAAAACATATTTCATGAATTTCTTAAAAAATATTTTTTCCAGTATTTATTTCTATGGTCTTGGCTTGTTGTTTGTCCCATTATGTATTTTATTCTTTTCTTATAATGGAATAAAAAATAAATTTTAATAAAAAAAATTATGTTTGAACAAAGTACTTATTTTAGACGTGGTTTCGATGGAAAATATTTATTCTTGTAACTAAAATGATGCTTGTTAAAAAATGTCCTTGCTAATGTTCAGCACCTTCTTCGCCCACCGTTGAGGGTGGGGGCTCATCGTCGATGAACCTAAGTTGCTATTGCACCCATCTTTCCAGCTAATCTAGTTTGATGCTGAGGGGGCATTGTTTTAATGGTATTAATAATAACTTTTTTTCCCATGTCAGCTGACTCAGTGGTGATTCGGCATGAACACGGATAAAAAGATCAATGATTGAGTTAAAAGTGAGTCAAAAGTACAGAAACTGAATTACATCAAATCATATTTAAGAGATTGAGTTACAAGTAAGTTAAAACTATAATGCAACATGGCCCGAACTAGGGTCAATATGATAGAGGTCAAATTTTGGTCATTTCCCATAATATATTTAGCTAGCTACTTATTAGATTGACGCCTATCATCATATAAATTTTAAACACAATATTTCAGAAATGGAAAAGAGAAAAGTATCAAATTACTTAGAGCAGTTAAAAGATTTTTTTGGGCAAAAAAAAACATGTAACATCTTTTTTTAAGATTTAGAGAATCAGTTATGATCTAAAATATATGTAAAAAGTATATAATGATTTATGAGGAAAGCTCTATGTTTTGAAATTAATTTTATTTATTAATTTACTCTCACCATAGTAAATCCATAATTTTTTTTTTTGAATCAATTGTTCATTTTACAATTCCCGACAAAAACTTCATGCTATGATCAAAATTCATTTTTAGACTATAATAAAATTTAAAATTATTTGCATCAAAAAAAAATTTTTTTTCCACAATTGAAGTCTTTGCATATATCTTACACTATAGTTTTTATTTTAAATATATCAACTAGTTACTTCTTTGGTCTTGTTAATAAAGCGGAGAGGGAATTGTTTTTTGTAAGGCACGTCATTAAATTTTTAACATGAATGTTTTAATTTGTTCTTCATTTATTATAATGCAGTTAAGTTTTTTTTAAAAAAAACTGTATATATTAAATAAGGGTAAAATTAGAAAGCTGTTAAATGTTTAAGGAGAGTTAATACAGTTTAAGATTTTTCTTAATTTATGTGAAACATATTAAAAATGTCCGATAAATAAAACTGAAGGACGGAATGAATATTTCAATTATAGAGGACCAACAGGCTTTGACGTTAGCATAAGAAACTATAGTCACTTAAATGTTTGGATGCAGAAAATGGTGAGAGGAATGATCAAAATTACCATTTCTAACCTTCGATTTTCCAACGGGCGCTCCGGACTCATTTCGATTTGAAAACATCTTGGAGGAGAAACTTCAAAAACCAGACAATATATTTTCCTGCATAATCCATCCGAAGTCGAACAACCAACATTAACATTTGATATATTTTGACCTTAAAATATAATAAAACAATAGCACTAGCCATAATTCATAATGTCCGCATGACCATTTATTAGTAGTAACTTATTTGATCCGTGGAGTTTTCATTCCCTCCCTCCTAAGCAGTTTTATCTTTATCTCCCCCCCCCCCCCAAAAAAAACGTGTGTGTTTCTGTAAGTTTCATTATCTGATGACGAGCCCATTTATGAAAAGGATATATGCATGTATATATGTATGTGTGTGTATCAGATAACTAATTTATATACGCGGTGAAGTGAGATGTCTAAATAAAACCGTTCGTTCCCTATTTTAGTGTTTGTTTGAAGTCAACATAAATCCGATCATTCTATAAAATTTCATTCTCTTTTTAAAATTAATAAAGCCTTCATGTTCCTTCATATTTTAGTCCAGCTCAACATTTGAGAATTCCGTCCGAATATTTCTTTGACGCTCAAACAAATGGTTAAACTGATGGAAAAGCATTCAATAGGACTCATACATGAATGGTAGTATTTAATACTCCTCTAGTCCTTAATATAGGACCCAATTGTTGAGTTAGTTTTGGTCCTAAATATAAGACCCATTTCTCATATTTATCAATTTTCTCTAAATTATCCCTATGAATACTGCCTCAACCATAATTAAGTAGAAGAGGAAGAGGGGGTATTAAGAAAGATGATTATGGTATTTGAGAAAAAAACGTGTTACATTTCTTATAATTAACTAACTTACCTAACTTTCTTAATCTAATTAAATTAGTTAAATGGGTTTTATATTAAGGACCGGAGGAGTATTTAATATGACTACAAGATATAGTTACTCTCACATATAAAAAAAAGTATTAAATTGATAAAATCTTTCACTTTTGTCCTTATTTAAAAGAAAATATGGATATTGAAAAAAAAATGTGATATGATACTAGTACATTTTCTCGCACACATTCCTTTTTCTCTTCACTTTTACTATAATTAGGAGAGGCAGAATTAAAAATAAAACATTAAAAATAGTACAAATGATAAATTAAAAAAATAGTACATGCCTTAAAATAACCTCATCATGCATAGGAAAACACAAAAGAATCGGTCTATCAAAGAGGGGGAAAAAATGAAAAACAACTGAAACATAATTTAAGTGATGCTTTGGTTAAATAAGGGTTAATTATTTAGTTCAGACTCATCATAAGCTAACAAATTAAATCGTATCCACGAATGGGTGGAGTGATGAAGAAACAGCAACTAAAACTAAAATTAATTGATCCTGGAAACTTTCACCCGGGAAAAGCTCGAAATGATCAATCAAACACTCGAGATATATTATATATAAAAATACGAAAACTTATGGACTATTAATATGCACTGTTAATACGAATAGTTTAAAAAATATAAGTTTGGGAAAATTAAAATTTACATTTATGTTCAAATCAAAATAAACTTCTCAGCTAAATTGGAGGAGAGGAATTCTGAAATTATTATAGGTAATCAAACCTAGACTCGTAATCAAGCAAATTAAATTGTATCTACAAGAAGCAGCATCTAAAACTAAAAACTAATCCTGAAAACTTTCACCTGAGAAAAGCTCGGAACCATCATCAAATATCAAATACTATTCCGGTCCTAAATATAAAATCCATTTTATAGTACAAATTACACTACAAAATGGGTATTATTTGGAACCGGAGGAGTACTCAACATATATAAAAACACGAAAGCCGTACCTTTTTTTTCTTCGTTGAAGACGACAAAAAAAAAAAGCTCGATGGTCGAGGACTCGTTCATACACGCACCGATCTGATTTACTTAGAAAACTGTTAAATTTTCTTAGATCTGTCAGAAAGATAAGCGATTCAAAGAGAAAGCGAAGAACAATTAATTAGGTAGGATCCTAGAGAAGGCGTGGTTACCAGGAAGCGGGATTTTTGAAGGAATAAAAGAGTTGCGAAGTAAGCACTGTTGTTTCTTCCTACCCTCCCATGTTGGATATCAGGTTTCATGCTAAATAGAGAATAGAGCGAGAGGAGAAAGGGAAGTCAGCCAGAGTGTAGCACTTTGCCGGTGAGGCTACGGCTTTAATTTCTGGAAGCAAGATGAGAATCAAGCGAAAGAGAAAGAGCGCTGGTATGGAGAGGAGATGGACGGAGAATGGTATATTTTTTAGTGAGAGCCACCAATTAATGTCGATTTTTTTGTGAATTAACAAATTATAAGACTTGGTGATTATCCCTCGTGCCAAATTCTAGACATATCCTGTCAGTGGTTTTAATAAATAACCAAAATTAAAAATTTGAAGAAAAAGTTATATTTATTGAGGAGGATCTTAAAAATTAAAATTATTTAACAGAATCAAACATCAAAATATAAGCTTAAAAAGACCAAATTAACCTTTAAAATTCTTGATGTGTCCAATGCCCTGAAGGTTTTTTTTTTTTTGCCATGGTACTAGACCATCATCAAAAAATATTTTTGGATGCTAAACCCACTTAAAAAAATACTTTAAAGTAATGGATGTATCAAAAAATACTTTACAGTACAGGACATACTGAAAAAAATATTTTAAAGTATTAGATGCATTACAAAATATTTCAAAATATTATATGCATCTGGGAAAATACATCCGCATACTGAATTCTTAATTTCATATAAAGGATAAGAGACAGTAGTTCAAAGTAAAACAAATAAAAGCAACAAATAAAAACCAGTAAACGACAAATGACAAATAAATTTAGGCAATGTCGATCTCAAATCTCAAATCTCAAGGTACTATAATATAAAAGCGATAACAAAATTTGTCATTACCATGAACAAAGTGCCACAAGCTTTTCAGCGAGGCCACGAAATTGAATCTTGGTTAGGAATTTGTCAGGTGAATAGTTGACAATAATCGGAACGCGTGGTCAATACGATTGATGATGACAGTTGAAATGAAAATAAATATTGCAAGATTGCCAATAAATGACAAGGAACAGCAGTGATCAAGTGCGGGAAAGACGAGGGAGCGTGAAAGAAGGGAGACAATAAGCTAAATGACAATACCAAACCAAATATTAAATACATTTATTTATTTTTTCCGGATTGCTAAATACATTTGTTTATTTTATCTCTATAAACAATGGAGGGGAGGACTTTCAGGTGCCCATGGGCTCCTAAGACGTGACTTCTCACTGCCCAAGATCTATGCCGGCATGCTTAAGTTGATAGGATTCTTGTTTTATTTTAAGAAGCTCATTAGTTATGGGAATTCCCAGTAAAGAAATTTTTTACGAGATAGCTATGTTTATAGCGATTTGATTTGGAGCACAAGAGAAGTCTGAGTGAAAGAAATAGAAGAAACCTAGGCAAAACACAATATTATTGTAATTGAAGTTAATTGCAAACTTAGGGTGTACGATCAACTCCTGCCCAATTGCCGTGTTACAAATTATAGATCTGACTTCTTCATGAACTTGAGCCACGATGCCTATGCTAGCAATCGGATTTTGAAGCTGCTTCTACTGCTTCTAAATCAAACCGTTTCATTTTGAGCCCTTAATTTCTGTGAAAATAAAATAAAACGAACTAAACAGGTGAGGTGAATTAAATCAAAGCGAATTAATTAAGTCTCTAAATTAGAGCAACAATCAGACAGTTTACTTGAGATTCATAACTATCTCCAAGTTTCTTGATTGAAACTGTGTATTGTGAACATGGACGCTCATTTTTCTTCTCTTCTTGAATGTATAAATTGCTGAGCCTTGATTTGAAATCTTTCGGGCACGTATCTCTACTATAGCTAATGCTTCTTCATTTCAAAGATAGATGGAGGGACATTATAGCAAGGAAGGCGGCAAAGTACAACGTACATTTAAATAAGTCAAAAGGATCTAGTATAATTCAAATGATAAAAACAAAAATAGAATGATGCACATCAAGATATAATCTCAAATCATATATTTCGTAGCTTATGGTACTGATTGCCCCTTGAGCAACACAATGCCAGTATTGGTTGTCTACGAGTGTGCTTGTCTCATCATCAAAGTCCACATGTAGCCTCTCTACAATATTAAGTATGACCAACTCTTCTAACTTTGTGATGCGCATCGATCTACTCCCTCTTCCTACTTATTGGTCGTGCTACTACCCCCTACACCATTATATATTACTTTCGGTTTTTGACATAAGAGTCAATTAATTTATTTTGACAGATGAAGAAAATTAATAAAATATCTTAAAATATTTATATTTATTATTTTTTTAAAACTAATTTGTCACTTTTATAAATTAATATATAATCTAATAATATGTATAAGTATTTTAAAAAGATCATGTAACATATGTTATAATTAATTAATTTAATAACTTTCTTAGTCTCTTTAAATTAATTAACTGGGTTTTATATTGAGAACCGGACATAGTATTTACTTATATTTGATGTTTACTATTTGATGATTAAAGAGAAAATCGTCAAATATGTTGAGGTGAAGACAAGGCAAACGTATATTCGATGGTTATCTTAGCAAGTTTAAAATTTGGAAAAAGTAGTTAATTATAGTAGTAAGTAAATAGCTAATGAGATGCAATGAATTGATAAGCAAAAGTTGCAAACAACTTGTCGTCATGCCTTAATACTTAACTTATCTATTATTTTGTTAAGATACATTAGTCCCCCAATGGTCATCTAATCCATTGGCATCCAAGTGGTGCTTGTCACAAAAAATTCCGCCTGCCGGAGAGGGTGATTTTTCTTTAAAAAAATTTAAAGTGAGCTCTTTCTGGATGAAATTATGAAAATTTAGCGCACCATATTGAAAATTTTCAGATTCAAAGTTTTTTAGTGTAAGTTTCCCAAAATGATTGTATCAAGTATGAACAAACATGAGTATAAGTATTTTTTTCCAAAAAGAAAAAAAATAATGGAGCAGGCTCTGAACAAGGAGCGTTAGATCAAGCAACGCCGTTATTGAAAAGTTCGACCTCTGTCACTGTGCAATACTCTTGATCTTCTAAGCAGACTCTCTCCTTTGAGCTGCTTCGCTCAGACATTCACCAAAAATCGAAATCTTTCATCGGAATCAACACTCAGACCACCTGCCGGTTCCAGCTGTTTTGAACATATTACTCCTCCGCTCCTAATTATAAGACCCAATTGACTTATTTGAGGAGATTAAAGAAGTAAATTAAGTTGGTTATTTATAATAAATAAGTGTTGTCATTCCTAAAATATCCTTGCTAATTAAGTATATTGGCTAAAACTATCATTATTAGAAGGATTATCTTGAAAAAAATGCATAAATATAAGAGACAAAATGGATTGGGTCTTATAATTAGGACCAAATAAAAAGTCAAATTGGGTCTTATAATAAGGACCGGAGGAGTAAATTAGACCTTTCCTTAATTCAATCCTCATCTAATCCCCAACTCCTTAATTTTTGGTACCAAACACCGCCTAAGTTTTTGCAGAGAGACGGAGTCAGCAAACCATATCAATTACGGGGAAGAAGGAAAGGAGACACTAACTTTCCTCTCCACTTAATTTCTCCATCATATTGGATTAATTTCTAATGATTGAGATTTAAAATTGAATAAAAATATTATTATAATATTAAATATAATAAAAATGTATCATATTAAATTACTTATATCAAATTTTAACACTTAACAGTATAAATTTATTTATATATTTTTATCATTTAATATTTAATATTTTAATACTATTTTTATAAAATAAATCTTAGCCATTGAAGTTTGATCTAATGATAGAAATATTAAGTGGAGAGGAAGTGGAGAGAGGAGTTAGTGAAGACATTCCTTTCCAATTTAATTATGGGAGAATTATTTTAAGGTCTGAGAGATCTAATTACAAAAAAATCTAAATGACAAGTGAATAGTTTAAATGTATTGTCATTTATTATAATGAAACTTGTTATTACAAATTTTTTCGTTTTTAATAAATGTCTGGGTTATTAAATCTTTTATTTGGGACCTAACAATAATTTTCCTTTTAATTATACATATATATGGCTCATGTAACAAATAAGGGACCATGGAGGGAAGCGTCAACAAATTACTCCAAAGAAATTGCAATAATGACGATAAGCTTTATTTTGACAGGTGGGGTAGCTAGATACACGCCTGAATTGTACGATTTCATTATATTCTAACATCAACAACTTAATATTTTGATTAATTATCAATCAAGAAGTTCCACTAGTATTTAGTCTTTTTCTACTTATTTTAAGAAAACCCCACGTTGCTTGGTCACCACTCGTTGCCCGTGTATACTGTGATTTTCTTTGTATATATCTGAATCACTTTGGACAATTTTTAATCATTTTATTTTTTTAATAGTAGTATATATCAGTCCAACTCCTTTACAAAGAAATTAAATGTCGAGAGTCAGTTGGTGCTAAGCTGTAAAGCCAAGAAATACGGAAATGACATACTTAATAAAAGCCCAGTGACCCCTTGTGATCAACTTCTAGACGAGCTTTATCAACTTTATCGTCACAGGAGCCCTGTCAAAAGATAAATAGCTCTAAACTATTGGCAAGCATGATGGTCATCACATCGAAATTCAATTGAGAAATGATTAGGTACGGTGTGCCACATCATTTATACAGTCCCGGCCAATGAAATCACAATATATAAGATATTTTTCTATCCTAAATCTCAACTTGGCTGATGGCTTTGCGTTTATGGAGCATATTATTTTAATAATACCTCAATAATTGTGCCTCCCCATATTCTCGTTTTAGTTTATGTACTTATATCCTTTATTATCAAATCTACTCCCTCGCCTACTCTCCTACTTACGTGGTCTTTTTTTTTGTTTGGATAAAAATTAAATTATAATTTTAAAAATAATTTTACGACATGCAAAATAAATATATATAAAAAGTTATCTTTGACTTATCAAAAAGTACTTCTGAGATATTCAAAAGGCTCCTTACATCTGATATGTTGCGATTTCATCAGTCAGAGCATGTGGTTAAGTACCTTCCCTGTGTAGTAAATGTGAAGCTGGGCCAAGAATGGCACGCGCGATCAGCGAGGATGGTGATAGTCGTAATGGATACGAATATCCAAAGATTGCATATCTAATGACAAAGTTTAATTATCAAGTACGAGGGAGAGGAGGGAGAAAAGAAGGAAGACATTATGGAATGCAATTGGTCAAAAAGCGAGGGCGGCTGGAGTAACCGTTGGTGCTTCATTTCAATTATGGCAACGCGCAAACAAATATATTAATCACACGTGAAATGCAAAGAAATTAAAGATGGGAAAGAGATACCTAATAAAGGTCCTTTGACAGCTTATGGGAGCATCAACTTTATTGCCACAGGAGCCTGATCAAAAGATAATTAGCTCTAAAATATTGGAACGCGGTATCATTGTAATCTTTCGTACCAAATTGGATGATTTTCTAGCCCAATTTTAATCCCAACTCTAGAGCCGGCTCAACCTACCAATTTGTCAAAGAGCGGCGAATTGAGTGGCGAATTGAATTGAAGAAAATAGGAACCATTTAGATAATGAGAGAGAAATGAAGAAGATAGAAAGAGAAATAAAGAAGATAAGGTGCCTCTTTGGTTGGACGGTCCGACCCCTAAAGAGAATTTATAAGTATGATAAGTCAGTTTATAAATTTGAGAGTTATTTCAAATAGCTGTTGACCCATTTAACTTGTAGGCCAAAAACTATTTTGTTAGGCACAATTGTAAAAGCACATAAAATTTACTTATCACTTATGCAACAGTAGCCTTTTAGAATTAAAAAACATTTTCGCCTTTATATTGTTCTTATGTTTCTCTCTTCATATTTTTTATGCTTCTCAATCAGTTTTTAGTTATTTGTTTTTATTATTCTCTTAAGTGAAAATAAGTTTTAACATAGTATCAATAATATTTTTAATTTTATATTTATATAAATTGTGCAGAGTATATCATTCAATTAATTATATAATATTATTTGATTCAGAAATTTTCATATTACTATAATTTCTAATTTAAATATATTTTATTCATTAAATATAACTTTTTCTTATTATAATAATTTAAAATTATTATGTTTTGTAAATTTATTTTTGTAATCATTTTTATTATTTAATAAAAGTCATACTTATTTTGGTTATTCTACTAATTAAACTTACTTATCAAAATTATAATTTACATAACTTTTCTACTTTACAAATTAACTTGTATAAAAGCCAATTCAAATATAAATTATATTATCCAATCTAATTTTTATTCAATTTATTTTTTTAAAAAAATTAGATTGAAAATAAGTTTTTTTTTATCACCAACTCAATAATTGGACGTGTAATTTGCTTTGAATCCAGTTGGTCAAAAGAGCAGGCAGGTCGGAGCCATGGCGCTTGACAAATGGACAATGGAGGAACCGGAAGCAAAGTCCCAAAGCTAAATGATATTTCCCATAATTTTTTCATAGTAGTGATTTGTTTTCGATTATCATCATAATTCATAAATTCAATTTACGTCAGCATTCATGCGGTTAATAATTCTCTTCCAGTGTGAAATGTTAGCTCTTTTTTTTAAAAAAAAAAAAATTTGGGACAGCCGGATAATGCGCATTATATTTAAAAATTATATAAGATTGGCTTTTTATTTTATCTGATTTTTGTAAATGTAAATTAAGGTAAAAATCAGTTGATGTTTAAATTGACTTTTATTAAAAAAAATAGGTTGACAAGTTAAAACTTGTTTAGATAATTAATTACAAAATAAGTTTAAATATAAAATTACTAAAACAAGACATAAGTTTTAGTAAATAATATACACACACAAGGTGATAATTTTAAGAGAATTATGAGAATTAAAAATAAACTTAATTTGAGCGAAAAATCATGTCGTTAAATATTTTGTTTTATCTTAATTTTATTTCATTTCTTTTATTTTTTTCTTTTATTTGTTTCTTTTCTTTTCCTTCATCATACTAGAGATCTGTGAATTTACACTCAAGGCGCAACACGAGAAACAAATGGTCGCAATCTTTCACTATTCCCATCTTCACCCCTAAGGAGACTCTCCTCTGAAGCTCCTTCACTCAGACCTTCACCGAAAAATTGAAATCTGTCATCGAAATCAACACTCAGACCATCTCCAGAAAAAAGCCAGGTAGCTTCTCTTCTGCTCATATTCTGGGTAAGCACAAGTCATCACTGCATTTTCTAATTTTTAGTTAATTTCTCTTCTGAGATGTGTTAATTATTTGACGTTGAAGCAGCTTTATATTCTGATTCTTACAGTCAAGCAGTGGTTACGTTTTCGCAGAAAAATGTCAAATTCATGACTTAACTCAGTAGACTTTTACTTTGATGCTTAATTCTGCTTATCAAGAAAAAGATAAAATGAACAAGACTGAACGATAAAAAGAATAGCATTTAAGTTTGGGATTTTATTCTTCTTTAACGCACAATGATCCATATGACATTACAGCATTTACTTATTCATTTGAACAATTGATATTTGAATTTCCACAGAGCTTCATTCTATTTTACCTAAACATATTGGGATCCTCTTTTGGTCATCATGTTCTGGGTAGGTATGAGCCATCGCTTATTCTTTTTCCATAATTTCTCTTATGAGTTGTTATAATAGTCAACACCGAAGCAGCTTTAGGACTCTTGTGTATGTACTCATGTAGACATGGCTCTGAATCTTGCAACCAAAGCACCGGCTGTTGCAAAAAATGTCAAGTTCATGACTTTAGTTCAGGAAATTCTAAGTACCTGAAGCCGCTTCTGATAGAAAAAAAGCTAAGAAGGGAAAGAAGACTAAAATAGTGGGAATTCTTGATTACTGGTAAGTGATTTCTGCTTCTTAAAGATACGTATATAGACACACACACAACTTGTACAAAATGAGTTAATTTCATTATTCTGATTTGTGAGCGAAAAGTACTCATATACGTGATTGCTTCTTCTGATTTGACTAGACTGTCTCCACTAAGAGCTTTCATGGGGATCAAGAATCAGACCTTTGCCAGTAACTTGTCTCAGTATGCGTAAGCCATCACTCTTTTTCAATTAATTTCTCTTTCGCGTTTAATAATTTTGTTGTTGAAAGAGCTTTAATTTATATTTTAGCTCATGCTAGCTTGACACTGGGTTTTAATTTGCAGAGAAAAAAAATGAATGTCAAGTAGATGCTTTTACTCTGTAGATTATTACTTGATGCTAGCTGCTTAGTGCCTATCCATGTAAAATGCTAAAAGGGGAGAACCAAGAAAATCGAACAACCCAAACGCTTGATAACTAGTAAGTAGCTCCATTTTTAACTTCATTCAACATTTTATTTTCCCTTATATCATTTTATTTGCCTTAATTGGATGTGCTGCATTTCATTGGGCATGCATGTGTTATCCAAATACACACACACATTAGCTCTATTACTTATATCTATTAGCTCTAATTCTCCAATTAAATTTTTATTATTAAAAGATTATGTGCTAAGATTAGATTGAAATATTATACTAAGTTTTTTCTTTAGTAATATTGTTTTGCTAATGCTAATTTCACTAACAAGGTGAATTATTCAAGCAGGCAATCAACTTGTTCACAAAAAAAAAGGAAAAGACAAAAAAGTGTGGTTGTTGTCTGCTGAATCACTTTTAAGAAGACAATAACACCTACCAGTTATGTTTTTTCAAATTAGAAAAGAAAACAGACAAATTTATACGATAAAATATGAACAAGACGATAATTCAAGTAGTCAGCTTATAAAACAAGATTAATTATAAACAAAAGATTGTTGGGAACGAGGAGCGATGTGAGGGATGGTGTCGTCCCTCGGTTCAATCAACAGTAGCTCTAAGCTGGACTAAGCCACGTGGTCCAACATATGCCATCAACTTCTCTCTCCCTCTCTTAACTTTTTTAGTACTCTCATTTTTACTTAAGAAAGAAAAAAAGAAAAAAAAAGGGAAAAAAAGAAAAAGAAAAAGAAAAAAATTAAGTTTGATCCTAAATATAAGACCACAATCTACTTTGTCTCACATATTTATTCTTTTTTTTTTTCAAAGTACTCCTTATGTTGATTATACATGTTAAAGGTTGCATTAAAGGATAGTCTCAGTACACATTATTAACAAGAGTATTTTAGAGAATGTAACAGTTATTTATTACAAATAAATAAATTAACGGTTAACTAATATTTTTAATATTTGTAAATTACGTATTTTACTATTATATTAAGGATCGGAGGCAGTACATAATTGGAAAATTTCTTAAAATGAAAATTTCTATCAAACATGTTTCATTAATAACACTCTCTGGTAACGTTTCTTGAACCGTTTCCCCGCAGGCTGAGGTTTCTCGATGACTGAGGTGATAGCTAAGATAATTGTTCCCGCCGCTACAAGGCTTGCCCAATCTGTTATCGAATTTCTGTGGTCCAAAGTCATTGGAGACTCCATTTCGCTTGCTGACATACATGAATCGCTAAATCATGGATTAATGCAGCTACTTGCTTTACAAAGGGACAAAGACAATGAAGTTTTGAGCGATATTATACAGAAAGATCCGTCTGAGGCTTACAAGCTTTGGAAGGAGCGTGTATCAAATATTGAGAAACAGGTGGCTCCCTTGAACAAAGAATATGTTGAAGTAGGGACAAAGAGACGGCGTATTGTTCGAAGGAAACATCTTGGAAAGAATATCAACGAGGCATTAAAAGACGTGATCAAGCTTCTTGAAGAATGTCCGGAGAAGATTCTAGTTGATTATAAGCTGCCGGAGCGGGTCATAAAGGAGACTGGTGTTCTATCAATTGCGGAGTATCCGACTCTCCTGAAAGCCTTCCAACAAATTCTGACTCTGCTACAAGATGAAAATGAAGGAGTAAAATGCGTGGCACTTCATGGACAAAAAGGGGTGGGGAAAACTACAATAATGCAAAACTTAAACAACCACTTTTTTGATAACGATGACAAGTTGTTTGATATGGTGATTTTCATCAAAGTGCCGTCTGATGAGCAGATTAAAGATCTTCCCATTCTACAGAAAATTGCAAATCGAATAAAGGTGGATAGAGAAGATAGTGAACCTGCTGATGTAGTTGCTGGAAGAATACGGGAAGTGCTGGAAAATAAAAGATATTTACTGATTTTAGATGGCCTAAGGCACACACCAAATGGGATTTGGGAAAAGTTGGATATTTCACAACACAAAAAAGATAGTAAGGTGGTAATAACCACTCATTATCCTCTTGCTTTCAACTCGAAATATGTTGCTGGGAAAGTCCCGCTGGAAAGATTATCCCCCAATGAAGCATGGAAGATGTTTCGATGCATTATTGGTGAGAATCTTTTACCACCCATACCAATTGCTCGACAGATATGTGAGAGATTCTGCTATCGTCTCCCCCTCCTTATAGGTCTTATAGCAAAGTCTTTTGCCTATCAAGAGTCTCCTCCTGATTGGGAGGGGCTTTTGAATGAATGCACGCCTTGGCCTCAACTTAATGGTTTCGAAGATTTATACTCAGTCTTGGAAAGTGGTTATAAACTGTTGGGTGATCAACGTAAACAAAAATGCTTCCTTTATGCTTCACTGTATCCTGCAAATAGCAAGATATACACAAATTACTTTGTGGAGTGTTGTATTGCTCAGGGCTTTCTTGGTGATGTTGGTGCATCTACTAATTACAGCGCTATGCGTAGTCGCTGTATTCATGAAGTATTGAGGCACCTTGTTAATGTCTCGTTCCTGGAAGGGGATCAACAAATGAGTTATGTTAAAATGAATGATTTTTATAGGCAATTTGCCTTTGATATATCATTCAAATATTGGGACTTAGAATGTAGCACTTATCGTGCTGATAATGAAGGACATGAGAAGTGCTCCTTCAGACCAGAATCACGGCAGGATGCTAGATGGATTTCTATGGTTGGCAGTAAAAAGGATTGTCTACCAACAAACAAAAATTATTGGAGCCTTCAGACACTATTGCTACAAAAGAATCAGAAGTTGGTTGAAATCCCACCAACCTATTTTGACAGCATGAGCAATCTTCTTGTGTTAAACTTATATGGTACTAAAATAAGGAGTTTGCCATCCTTGTCCGGATTAACTAGGCTTAAAGCATTCTATCTAAATCGTTGTTCAGACTTGACGATAATTCCATCTCAGATCCAAACACTTGAGCACCTGGAGGTGTTTGACGTTCGAGATACTGGAGTGAATTTTGTGCCATGCTTGGAAAGTTTGCGGTGCCTGAGAATCTCATACATTTTAAAAAGTAATTATGACGGAATTTCAGAGCTTCACAAATTAGAAGAATTGACCATTGAAGTGAAATTCCTACCGCAATGGTGTGATGATGCTGAAAAAATTATTCAACAAGTTGATTCTTTGGAAAGTTTAACAACCTTCAAATGCAACTTTCTTTCTCCAGAAATTACCCTTAGAAAATTCCTAGAGGTCCACAAGGCTCCCGTTGATTGGGCGGTGGCTTTGATTAATTGTAAGCCTTCGCCTCAAGTTGGAGTTCATGGTTTATCCCCTACTGAAGCGAGGAAGATGTTTGAAGACATTGTTAAAGCTAAACGGGTATGTAAGAGGTTCTGCTCTTGTCTCCCCTCCACATAGATTCTAGATTCTATATTGCAAGTTCATTTAAATATGAAGAGTCCTCCCACTTATTGGGATTTGGGAGAGGGATTTCAATGAATGGAAGTGCTCCAAGTAATTTGATGCTTCTATCTTTTCAATTTTTAAAATATTATTTTAGTGTTGTATGATGGGATTTCAAATATATACGATAGGCGTCAATCAATTAAGTAGCCAAAATATCTGATATCTTCTTAATGCATTGTGCTTTGAAGGTCTTGCCACGAGAAGAGCAGAGTTCGTCAAAGCCCACCAACGTTACTGGCAGACCGGTGAGTAACTATTCGGAAAAGAACAACGTTTTCTTATTGTTGACTTCTAACATCTTTCTTTTTCTTTCGGCCAACGCCTACTAATGTCTCCTTATTGAGGGGTTTTATATTTGCACACGCATATATAATGGAATTCAAAGCAGTCATTAATCTTGTTATTCGTTTTAGTTTCAAAAGATATAGGTCCTGTTTGCTTTTTTATTTTCAAAATAGATTTTCGTTTTGAAAAATAAAAAATAAAAAATACAAAGCATGTTGAAAAATATGTTTTCCGTTTTGCCTTATTGAAAAAAAAAAGAACATCTTTTGACATTGTGTTACTTTTTGTTCTACGAAGTTAGGAAAAAGGTAGAATACATTGTATTTTCATTAATAACAAATAACAATATCATGCTTGTTGGTATTTTTGTGAGTGCTTTTTACGCAATTTTTTGTGTCAGGATATTGTGTTAGTATTTTTTTTTGTGTGTAATGTGTATAAATAATACTTTTTAATAATAAAATGGACTCTTTTTATGTCAAAAGAAAAAAAATTACGCCAATAAAGCAAACTATTGTTTCACTTTTTAATTTTACCATTTTACACATGTTTTTCAGATTAGTAGTTCAAACAATTTTTTTAATTTTTTGCTCCCAAGAGTTGTTCTAAAAAATTAGTCTACAACTTTTTTTTTTTTTTGAGGTACAAGGGAGCGGGCTCAAACTCGTGTGCACACACTCAACATGCACACATCACTCGGCCAAACAGCTAGTGGTAGTCTACAACTATTCTAAGAACATAAAAATAGAGAATAAAATCAAACAAACCCTTAATTTCTTGAGTATCAATTCGAATATATGGAAAGTGATCAAAATGTCCGCCTTTGATCTTTTGACGGCTATTGACTTGGACTGAATCACTGTAGTCATGGCCAGTTATTTAATATTTTAAATTTTAAATATTACTATATAATGCTCTGTTACGACTCCACACCAGATGGGCCACGCTGATCTAGGGAGTAGTGCTGCTAAAAGCCCAAACCAGAATATTGGTCCACGTAGAAGCCAACGGATGAAGAAGAGGCCTTGTAAGCTTCAGGAAATAGGAGAGGATGCTCTTATATAGTACGACAAAAGCCGTTAAGGTGGGGTGTGCATGATTTGGTCGTTATTCCTTCTGGCCAGATTCTCTGGATCTCCTCACTCCTATTGCTTTTCCCTTCTTTCGCTTTATGCATTTTCTGCTGTACTGCTCACTAACGTTCTGATATATTTCCGTTTGTGTACTGCATCGTTGATCGATAATATATATATATATATATGTATATATCCATTGGCAGTCTCATTTGTTGCTATTCTAGTATTCAGTTATTATCATTGCATGCTCTCTTTAACTATATGCCTGCAAACCCCTGAGACTTGATTACAACCGCAGCCTGTGTGAGATTTATATTTTATACAAAATTTATCTTATCAGAATCATGCGATCAAAGTGGAGATTCAACTAATCATCATCCAGTGCTTCACAAATTAAAATATTAGCCATCGAAGTGAAATCCCTACTGCAATGTTGTCATGATGCTGAAATTATTATACAAAAATTTGCTTCTTTAGGAAATCTAACAACTTTCATATGCAGATTTCTTTTCTCACAAAGCCTCGAAAAATTCTGAAAGACTATCAAATCATGGAGAGATGAGAAGATTTACATCATTTCAATTTGCTGTGGGATGTGAAGACTTAACAGCCGAAAAAATCATCGAGTCTTTTGACTATGAAATGTTCAAGAATGTAAAGCACTGCAACGGTGGCAAAAAAATAAACAAAGACTTGGCAATCATTGAGATTGCTCCCTCAAGCTGAAGCAGTTGAGCTAATTTGTCACAGGACTGTTGGTAAAGACATTAACGTCGGTGTCATAAGTGCAAGACTTGTTATGTTTGATCCAAATGTTTCCTTGTTGCCCATAAAAATATATATGTACTGAGAAGCATAAGACTGGTATATTTTGTTATGCTTTCAAAAATATTGTCGTGGTTGATATTTGTTTTAATGTGCATTAGAAGTTACTTCAGGTGTGTAATCTTTTTTCCCGTTTCATATCTTAGGGAGATGAACTCGGTTTGAACTAAGCCTTATTTCCAGGATGCCTCTTGTTTTACTGTGCGGGTTATTTTCTTATTTTGGCTCGTGTTATTTATGGTTGCATCTCAATTAAGCAATGGTACAATTGTGAACTGTCTGCGCAGCCATTGATCAGGTTTATTGCACTTCACTGTCGATCCGTGAGTTCTATGCTAATATGCTTTACTTTGTACTTGAGCTTCAATTGATTTATCGTGTATTAACTATTAAAGCCTACTACAAGTTCGTGGAATATATGCAAAAGGCTCAAGTATTCAAAGTGAATCTGAAATAATCCTGGTTTTCTTATTACTCAACAATTGGAAAATAACTCGGTCTATGTGGTTTGGTGACTCAAGTTTTCTTTCTTTGTTTTTTTTTAAATGTTAAGACAGTTCAATTCCTTTGGTTTTTAGCTCAATAAACTCTAAGCAAGTTGTTCTAAAGTAAAGTTTGAAGGATGAATCAATATTTGAAATAATTGAAAGAAAGTTAAGAGATTAAGATTATATTTTTTAGGCTTTAGTTAAAAGTTAAGAATCTTTTCAAAATTATCCTCAATCAAACTAAAGACATAAATATTTTATTAAATATTGTAGAAAATATTACATTAAGGATTAACAGATAAAATCTTACGAATTGAATAAGAAGTAATTACCAAGAAAAAAAATACACTCGCCCTGTAATGTAGATGTACCTTGTCTATATATGATGACTGATGAAATTAATATTAGAGATATAAAACCCAATATCGGGGAAAAAAGGAAAACTCAATCTAGGATGATTAAGCTAACCTAACCATCAGTATCCTCATCGTATTTTGCTTCTAGCATTTGGATGGCCTAAGAAGGTTCCAGTCCAACTCATCTCCCTTTGGTTTTTTGAAAGACCCCAAACCGTTTCTTGGCAATGATTGATCATCGCCTTTATCATTCTTGGCGATTTAGTTGGATTTTGTCCTTCAGACTGTTTCCTTTTGAGGTCGCCACCAATCTCATTGGTACTGTCTGCACAATTTGAACCATCAATGTAAAATAATGTGTCAGCTAACTAAGGTCAAATCCATGGATGTAATATTTATGTGGATTTTGGGATTAAATTAAAACCATTGATGGAGAATCATCAGATCCTTTTTTTCCCCTCAAGAGATGGGGTTGGGAGACAGACCACACCAACAAAATTAAACACCATAATCACCAAGGACTTGATTCAACTAGCAAGCTTGTATCACTTTAACCAAAGGTCTCAAACTCAAGTCCTGAGAATGTAGCCGTGTTTACATATTAGATGGTAGGACTTTGTTACCCTTGTGATCCTATTCTGGGTGCTCTTATGCGAAAAGAATTTAGCACCATAAAGAATCGCATGTCCACTAAGTATCATAGGAAAAGAGAACCTAACAGAAATTTTCCAGTTTGATTCCTAGAACTAGGCTCCTGTTTGGTACAACGTATTAAAAATGAGGGATTGGGATTGGGATTGCAATTGAAAAAAATCATTAAAATAGTACTTAGCATGAGTAATTGTTTGTTATATGGGATTGGGGAATACCACTTCCCCCCATGGTATTTTCCAATCCCATATACATGGCTTTAGTTAATCTCATATATCAAACAATCTCTTATATTAAATACTCTCTTAATAGATTTTCTCAATTGTAATCTCAATCTCAATCCCTCATTTTCAATACTTCTTACCAAACGCAACCTAGAAGTTTCTGCTGCTGGTCATAACCTGGGCTTAACCCATCGAAAAGAATAAAAGGAAATATTATAACCACATTGAGTCATTGAAATATCACAAATGTGAATTCTTGAACCAAGCAATGATAAAGCCAAGCCTCAGAAACAGGGGGACCATGTGTGATTCCTGTTTTACCTTCATGTTCTTGAGCGTGCTAGAAAGCTCTCGTTTCGCTATTATGATTCCCAGCCTTCCACCAAATGCCTAGATCAAAACCTAAAGCCAGGATCATAAATTGAAAATTTAGGACCAAATGTCCTACATAGATATGAAAAATTGAAATTTTAGCACTTGATTACTTATGAAGAACAATCGTGTATTCCTAGAGTGTTTATCCCTACCAACGATGCATATGATTAACGAGTAGATTCCTAAAATTCAATTATTATGGCCATAATTTGATGAGTTTATACTTGGATTAAAAATCTATCCGTTGATCCATATCACTTTGTTTAAACATTTTTATTCACTTGCTATTGATGAATTCGTGCGAATTGTAAATTACAAACAGATGGAAGAATTCTATCACTTGTTTTCATAGCTTTTCAAACAAATATATCAAAGGATCTACAAAATCCATAACTTGGCAGATCAAACAGGTAAAAACATGTTTTTTTGGTCATGGCGCCGAAAATAAAAATAAATGACAGATTCTTAGATCCAAGCTAAACAATCACATTACGAACAGTCATTACTCCGAAACAGTTTGTGAGGACCCGAAAAATTCATAGGGTTGACGAATGCAGGAAAAAAAATATTTCGGTTATTACAAATGCCGATAAGAAAAATGCAGAGACTCTTGGTCAAAATACAGGAATGCTTCTTTCTTTTTTTTTTTAGCTGAAAAATACAGAGAATGCTAACAAATCGTACATCAATATAAATAAAGTCCAACTGAGAGAACAGGGGAAAGAAGCAATAAGCGAAAGCAAAGAGAGCAGGGAAGAAAGTCTTCGAAGCTTTCGAAGCGTACCTGGCTCACTCTCCTTGGCCACCTTTCACTAGTTTGATTTGATTTGGGGTGGAAGCTCTCACAAGTTGACGCAGATGAGGGAAATCAAATCAGAGAGCCGCGTGGTGCGTTCGCAGCCTAAACCGAGACTCCGTCACGGGTCTTCATTCAATGCTCCCCATAAGGATGAGCATTATATCCTTGTCACTATAATATATTCTAAACCACTCAAAATAGATGGTTCAGATTTAAAATTTTTAATATATAATTTTTTAATAATAATTTTTTTTACAGATATGTTAATTATAATATTATATTCATTTTAAATTCTGTGTTTATTAAAACAAAAAGTTGATTAAAATATATAAAAAAATTTAAATTCAATTTAAACCATCTAAAATCAATTTGGATGATCCAAATTATGATGAGCACTCCATGCTCATTATTGTGATGAGCATGGAATGTTCTCCCCTTTATAATGATTATTGAGTTAAATAATCAATATATGTTAGTCCAAAAAAGTAAATATCAAAAACTTAGGTGAACTTGTCAAGTTTTTTGTATTAATATAATTTTTAGTCTTTTAAATTTGTCCTTATTTTGATTTTAGTTTATCAAGTTTTAAACTATAAATTTTAATCTGTCAAGAAGTAAAATGGTCTAGGTTTTTATTTAGTTATAAGAACCTATGTTTTAAATGAAAAGAAAATTGAGGGACCAAAACCTATAATTTAAAACTTGAGAGACTAGAACCAAAATAAAAACAAATTTAAGGGATTAAAAATTGTATTAATTTTTTTGTTTATATGAATTTATAGTTAAATGCTATGAAATAATGATATTTTAAAAATAGGACATATAGTCATATATGACTAGAAAACTTAACATAATAAATATAAGTATTATTTTTTTGACCAGAATAAATATAAGTATTAGATATATGTATTTCTCAGAAGGAAAATATTACCAATTTACATATAGTCGTAGATTCGGGCCTCGGGGACGAGAGATACGGATGGATATATTTGATCCTTTGATGAGCCCGGGTCATAGAGCGTTTCCTCCAATTTTGAACTTTTATATTGGATGATGTAATAGTCCTTTTCTGATTTTTAACGTTTCGGGTTCAATTCATGAGCCATTTAAACAAGAAAAAAATTTCATTTAACCCCATTGTAGCTAATTTATATTCAAATGCTCTAACTAACAGAAATTGAGTCTAACAGAAAATACTAGTCTCTCACAACGTGACAATAAAATATCAGTTTTTGGACGTTGAAACCATTAAATTTTTTGATTGCACAATCTGAAACGTTAGAGGCATATACGCAAGCATTCCGTTTAGAGTTTCATATTCAAATCATTCAATATATTACAATTAAAATGATTAAAAGCACCGTTCATGATTTCAAATATTTAAAGGCGTTAAACATTAAATTAAATAAATTGTTAAACAATTATTAAATATAAAATCTGTTCAGCAATTTGAATGATTCAACCGTTTATGATTTTAATGTGCCACTTTTAAATTTTTAAGGTATTGAAAATCTATTTATAACATTAAAACTTTTTCACATTTGATTTTCCTATTTTAATAAGAAAATCTGTTCATGATTAATGCTTAGTTTGTTTTTATTTTCCCACATTCTCAAGTAATGTAGGATCTTTTTTTTGACACACCCTCACAAATATCACAACATGAAATATACCCCTTATTTTGATTTTTAAAACTGGGCCCAAGAAAGATAGCTTTGATCAGAAACATGTGAAGTAGATCTCCTTTCTTTTGCCTCGTAACGAGACATTTGAAGACACGATCTCAAGACAGACTTACTCTTTTTTTTTTTTTTTAACT